GTTGCTATGCTAGTGGGTGTGGCTGTTACAGAGGTTTAATTACCTGACCTTTAATTCAGCCTTGTGAATCAGCCACACAGATGCGCTAAAGATGTAAAACTGTAATGAAGTGTCAATTTGGGGCAGTGGGTAAGTGTTTACTGCACTTACATGAGCTGAGACCTAACAGCTTTCAAGTTGTGGAAAATCTGCATGGAAACGTGTGTTAGAGGACCTCAGTGACCACAGGATAATTTCCAAGTGCATTATTATGCAGGCATTATAGTTTCCACGGCCAGTGTGTGATGGCCGGCTTGTGTACGAGTGACGTTCTGTAATCAGATGGTACATGCAAGGCTGTCTGCAGGCGACCACATGCCAGAGGGTTTGTGAAAGACACTAGACCACAACACGTGCAGCAACTACTGCATGTGCCCTTGAGGAGAATTTCTCAAAGTGGATTTGAAAAGTATAGAACAGGAATGGCTGCATTTTCATGTTATATGGAATTGTACTTTCCCATTGATTCTTTTTTTCCCCCTCCTCTCTCTCTCCTCCCAGCCCGCTGCAGCCAGCTGTAAAGTATGTAAAAGACATCCCCCTTTTAAACAAATTGATTCCAGATAGTCTCTTACAGTCTACAGGCTAATGTTTGTCATGGTTGCATGGTCTTCCTCATGATATAAAAAAAACAAACAAACAAAACTGACTTGCTTACTACCATAGTTACTACTACACTCCCCATGATGCGGTATTGTTTGGCTTGTTTGAAAACTGATATAGTTACTCACAATGAGAAAAGTGAAAGACATTATACATGAAGTGGCAACCGTGGCGCTGGGGGTTGGGAAGCGCATCTGTAACCGGCAGGTCGCCGGTTCGATCCCTGGGCTCTCTGTCCTGGTCAAGACACTTTACCCTACCGCCTACTGGTGTTGGCCAGAGGGGCCGATGGCACAATATTGACATTTATTTTTTTACTATGTACTTTTTTTTTTCTTTTTTTTTTCTGTCAGTCTGCCCCAGGGCAGCTGTGGCTACAGCTTGCCTCCACCAGTCTGTGAATGTGAGAGTGAATGAATAATGGAATTGTGAAGCGCTTTGGGTGCCTTGAAAAGCGCTATATAAATCCAATCCATTATTATGAAGTGTATAATGAAAAATTGGTATAAAAGGTTGTGTTAATCCAGTGTATACTGACATGTTAAAGAGGATTTCATGATCTAATTTTGATTATGATCCATGCCTTATAGTTGACAAATGTCAAGAGCAACAACACAAAAAAAAAGCATAAAATGACATTGTATAGCAAAGCAATTTTTTTTTAATGAGATGTAGATTATGTCTTATTGTTATGAACCATTATGAAGTGCTATAGGTACATAAACTACAAATAGATGGTTTTAACCCATTGGTAGGAGGCCGCTAGGCAACATAATGACATCATAATTAGATGTGGGAATCACCAGAATGTTAATGTAACATGGAGTTGGTCTGCCATCAGTCTGCAACTGAATGGGGTCAAGTTGGCAATTACATGCAACTTGGAAATGTATCTGATAATATAATAATTAGCTGTGATAACCCATCAAAAACGCATATCTGTTGCTGTCTACATACATAGGAATTCACATTTAATTATTACATTTGTGCTCATCAGCCTTCCCGTTCTATAGGAATATGACCAGAATACAGCCAGCAACCAGTTGTCTACATTTATAAATCAGTATTATTTGCAAACCTGTGGCCATCTCTCTGAGTGCAGTGGCAGTCAGTCCAAGTCATGCCGCGACTCTTTGCAGAAAGATTGCACAGGTTGCCTGGTAGGAGTCAATCGTTGCAACGCGAATACACATTTAGTCAACACAGCTCGTAGTCATTGGCAAAATGTGGGGGGGAAAAAAATCAGTACACTGACCAGGCAGCCATGAATTTTTGTTTGGTGGATGCAAGGAAATTGCTGATGAATTTTTACTCATTAACTTGCTCTGAATTAGGAGGTGTCTTTTTTGGTTTTGTGGGGTTGATTTTAATGTCAAGCCCTCTTGTTGCTACTATTCCCTGACTATTTTCATTTATTTAATGAAATACCAATATTTGGTGTCTGTGTATTGTTACAGTATCGCTATGTAAAATTCCACAACACTATTTTGTTTTTTATTTGTTGATTCTCATACATGTGTGCTAATTTGATTGTGCAACTCCTAATTGCGTAGGAAGAGTTCATGGAGAGGCCCAAATTTTGTGTATGGGCACACTTCTCTTTTCAATTTCACTTTCTTACTCCAGTGGACATGTGGTATGACCAGCTGAGGTACTATCCGTCAGTTCTGTAGCTCTTTTGGCTTGTGAAGAATATTTGTTTAGAAGTGGCCCAGCTCTCTTTTATTGTGACTGTGCGAATCTTGGCAAAACCTGCTTGGTCTTACACAGATGTCACACTGTGTATGACTAACATAAGGTAGCTTGTAATGAGTGATGGACCATATGTCTCAACTTACAGCACTAATGAACTAAATGAGCTGACAGCTTGATGAACTGAACATTTGATAGATGCCTTCCAGAATATGCCAATCACTCCCCTACATAATGAGGTTACTCTCTTATGCGGTCATTAATCTGTGTTGAGTCTCATCAGCCCTGTTATTGCAGAGTTTAACATAGCCTGCATTAAAATATCATTTAGTCCAATTAAATTGTTTTGAATTGCACTTCTCCCCTCGTGCTACTACCTAGTCTGCTACAAGCAAAATCCAAGTATGGTGGTAAATTATTTATTTATGTATTTATTTATTTTTTTAATTGAATAAAGCATATGCATATGGGAAGTCGGTAAGGATCACAGCAGAGTCGTTAGGCATAGCCATCCCTGCATTTGGAACTATAACTGTGATGTTCTGTGTTACCTCTGAGATCTCTGTCATCATAATTGTGTACATCACTTCAGGTCTGGGGGATGGGGATAAGAATTTATCATGCCAGAGACGCACTTGGGGAGCATGCCACTATTCTCTTCCTTCATACCTACTGTGTCCAAGAGCATTTAAGCTTTGAGGAGCTCTTCCCGAGGGGGTGATGTTGATAATTAAGTCAAATCTTAGCTCCCGTATAGTAAGTACTAACACCAGTGCCCAGCTGTTTATAGCTGCCCTGGGAACCAGCGCATTTTCCAGGATTAGAAATCCTTTCCTAGTTTGCCCATGTGAAGATCAGAGCCCTCCCCCAGCAACAAAAATGGCCTACCAGCCTGCTTGCCAGGGTGTCTGGCTGTCTGTATTGGTGTCATTGAGACGTGCCTTCTACATCCAGTCTCTCTTATTTGTCTCAACGTACAATGACCCATCATTACTGCCATGTCAAGGAGACGGAAGCAACCAATCATATCTGGCCTCGCGGGGCTGGTGGAGCCAATCAGGTCTAGAATTCCCATGGTAACTTGTGCCTGAAAGCCAGGGCACAGCCAATCGGAGCAGAGAGTGCCACTTAGCTATTAGGGTTTAATTGCCTGTTTCCGTTGTCATTAATAAAAGTTGTAACCTCTCTTTTTAGAGACTGTTATACATTCGGTGAACAGCACAGTGCCTCGGCATGAAAGCAGCCTAATGGCATTTGAAAGAGCGTAACACAAGGGCACATGCACAGTGACGTTTGTGTATCATGCTCTGTTCATTCACTGTACAGGCCAACAACAGTGCTCAAGTCGCTTGTCAACCGAATGTCTTTTACCCTTCAGATTCTCCTCTGTCTCTCTGGCCAATCATGACTGCTTCATCCATTTGTGCACAGACCCTACCATTAGCTTAAAGTAGGTCATTTCAGGCCAGGAGGGAGCCAGACTCAAGTTTGCATGGTCACTTTCTCTCCTTTTAGTTTAGCCTGCTTCTGACGAGCTTTTCCTTTCCACTCTGCTCTACATTGTGTTGTTTTCTGCTCTGTTCTTCCTTATGTAATGGCTGAGCAGTAAAGCGGCGTGTGTGTGTATGTCATAGCCGTTTCCATGGTTAGAGTGGCTGAGAGCGTAGAACAACACAGCATGCCCCAATCTTGGGCACTGTAGTGAGGAAAGACTTTTCCATTTTCTTTCTCCAGGTTTGCCTGTTTCTTAGTCTTAATTGCCTTTAACCTCCCCTCCTTTGCTCTGTCAAACTCCAAAAGCAGAAAAAGGTGTAGTTAATCATGTTGCATGAGCCAACGCAATGTTGTTTTTTTAATGCATTTTTTTTATAAAGAAGGATATCCTTTTATGTTGAAACCCAAGTCCATTAGGCACCATCAGATGTTCAGATCAGGTGGTAATTAATAAGACATTACTCTGATCAATAATTGATTGTCTTTCATTTAGTGGCAGCCTATGGTTGCTTTCAGGGTTGGAGTAAAAGCAGCATTCAAAACGTGTTGGCATGTAGGGTTTGAGACAAATTCAGCAAAGTCTCAGCTTCCTTGTCAGTTCTGATAACACAAAACGGTCACAACATGATTTCTTACTCACTGAAAATCTTACAGTCTGTTCCATAAGTTCAGAGAGAACAGACAAGATATGATTCCTGCATTTACATTTTAAGCGACTCTTACAAACCAATGTGAAGCATTCTCAGAGGCACTTAAACAAAGAACACATGTTGTCATTGTAAACCCACTCTGCTCTTAATGTGCGCCAGCTTTGCTTTGGTTTTGTGTAACAAATGGGTTTTTCTTGGTACATGGTTGAGCGTGCAGTCTGGTGCTGTGGGCAAGGTGCTGTGTTCTCATTTCAGTCTCTCTAGGGAGAGCTCCACCATCAGAGAGAAATGATTGAATCTCTTTCTCTGCTCCATTTTCACTCATTTCTCCTGGAGTGGATCTGCCTGTGCCCCCAGCACATTGTAGAGTGTGCGTGTGTTGTATGCAGATTCCGATGTTGGCATGTATACAGGCCAGCATGGGTGTTCTTCACATTATATAGCTGCCTATGCTTGTAGTGCTGAAGCATTTCTTTCAAATGTAAAACTCTTCTTTTGTGCCTCTTTGTGTTCATTTTCCAGACGCTGATATGCATTGAGGATGAGTGGAGTCGGCGAAAACTCATCTGACCCTGGCAGGGCAGAGTCACGGAAACGCAAAGAATGTTCTGCTGAACTTCTTGGACCCAGGTATTTGGTCCCTTTAGGAGTTATGTTTTTGACATTTCTGCGAGTTTTTGCTGTGTACAGTTAAATGTAATGTGGGGCAAAGTAGTTATCATGCACTAAAGGTCAGATCCAGTTTTAGTCGGTCCACACAAATGAGTAACGACTTTGCAAAGTTGTCCGGTTCACAATCTCCTGCACACATTTTTCTTTAACCTATTGTAACATAAATGGAGTAGACCTGATTTATTAGCAGGCTGATAATATCGACCTATATTAGCTATTTGCCAATCTATCGGTATCTGCATTTATAACTGTTAATGAAGGAAAAGACGAGAGAAACACCCTTCAGCTGACTGACGCTGAATAGTTTGTAGACCAGAGGGCACCCTTCAGTTTCCCAATCACAAACACAGCCACCTGCTGACTGAGCAGAGTCTGGCAAATCAGAACGTAAATAAATAACTATATAGATCCAATGTGGGGGAAATGTTTGTTTCATGTGTACGAAAGAGAAAAATATTGGCTGACATATTGAAATAAAGAGTTTTTAAGTCGGCAAGAATGTTAAAAATCCTATATTTAATCGGGCTCTAAGTGTAATATTGGTTTACCCTTGTGCCATGTTAGCAGCGTGAAAGCTCCTAGAAGGATGAATTGACACTAGTGTTGACTCTCCTCGATGCCTCAGTAGATATATTGCACTGTCAGTGTGCTGTCATTTGGCAGCTTTCAAAATGAGAGGCCTCTTCAGCCCTACTCAGGAAAAATGTGTGGACACTGGAACCCTGGTGTAGTTTTATAGATGGATGGACTTTGCTACCCTGGAGCTGTTTGATGCACTTCCACTCTCTTGAACCTTTAGCCATCAATCTGTATCGCCCGTGTTGTGTTACTGCTGTCCTCAGTGCAGTTTCTCACCCTTCTGTTTTTGTCTCTGCAGTCCCAAACGGAGCAACGAGAAGCGTAACCGCGAGCACGAGAACAAATACATCGAAGAGCTCGCCGAGCTGATCTTCGCCAACTTCAACGACATCGACAACTTCAATGTCAAACCTGACAAATGTGCAATCCTGAAGGAAACTGTGAAACAAATCAGGCAAATAAAGGAGCAAGGTACAAATGGCAGCCTCTAATATTTTTGAAACGTGATATTTTGTTGCAGAAACAATCAAGATCCCTACAGTGCAACAGCGAAAGGAATACGGAGTTATTTGAGCTGTTTATTTTATTTTATTTTTTTATTTCTTTATTCCCATGAAGTTCTGTAATTTTCCCCTTTCAGCTTTTTTTTATGTCATAAAGCCCAGTTTTATACCATGGCTAACCTTAGTGAAAACACGTCAGTGGCTTTGACACAGCTGCAAATCAAATTCGTTGCTGTGTTCTTAGTTGTGCCTTTAAAGTTCGACACAGCTTCCACGGGTGGCTTTGTGTTGACAGAAACCTCAGATCTGATAGCATAAATATGATTTGGGATCTGTTTCATACACAGTAACTGGTGTTCTTATTAAAGAGCAGCACAATTGATTTAATGTTCCCTCCAACACTCCATCATACAATGTGGATGAGCCAGAGCAGTTTTTTTATTTCTTTTTTTTGTTGGCTGCCAGTCTTTCCCAGGAGCGCTCTGAGCCAGAACATCAGGCAAATCGATCAGCATGTTTGGTTGTACTCGCTGCTGCCTCTTTTTGTGTGTGTGTGTGTGTGTGTGTGTGTGGGTGGAAGTAGGGGTCTTTAGTAAGTGGTAGAACACTTAAAGCTTTTAAAAAAACAGGGCTTCTTCTCTTGCTTCAATTTGAAGGAACGTGCTGATCTTAATGTTTTACCGTCGCACAGCCGAAAAAACAGCCGAGTGGCTGGTAGACAAAGAGTGGCCCACTCGAGGTGTGTATGAATCAGACCAGCTGATGATGTCATCATGTTTTGTGACTCACAGAGCCAACTGTTATGTAATGGTGATGCAAAAATCACAATCAAATTCTTGCTAGCGTCTGTTGCTCCCACCCCCTTTTTTTGATGTCTTATTCTGTGCTGCCTTCTTTTCTACCTCCAACACTTCCTCTCTGCATTATCATCTTTTTTCTTTCTTTTTTTAACCCTTTGCTATAATGACATCCTCTGCCTGACTCTCAAGGCAAAACATTTTAGTACAGAAGGAACCCCTGAGGGAAGGACTAAATTTTCCTATTCTGCTTTGTCCTCCATACGTCAGCGGCCACGTAGATGAACCTTTTTGTGTGTGTGTGTGTGTGTGTGTGTGTAGTTAAAGCAGGAAGCTACTGCATCTCATCCTGCACAAGTGAAGCGGGGATGCTGTGAGCTTATGTTATGTCCTACTGTTATTTGCTTTTCATTGCACCTCATGTGTTTAATGTGATCTGAAACAGAGGTGTAGTTATTTTTTAGTAGTATATTTTTTTTTTCTGTTGTCCACATTTAGTTTACTTTCTGCTTATAGCGACAATATTACATGTATTCAAATACACTTATGTGACTTAATATCTCTCTCTGATTGGTGACTTCCTGTAGAGATGTGCCATGTGGTGAAGATGGCCTTTGGAAAAAGGAACGAGAAAAAAAAAAGCAATGAATTCATCCCTGTTTGTTCCTCTCACACTGTCTGCGTACATTTTCCACCCTGATTTGGAAACTGGTTGCAATTTTCTGCGTGTCTTTTCTCTTTCCAGCTTGTTGCACCTTCACAGACAATATGTGGAGAAATATGCTTATAGAGCCTTTAGAATAATGGCATAGCCAAGAGTTTTACAGCTTTTTTTTTTTTCTTTCTTTAACACTCCGTGTTGGCAGGAGCACCCAGTTAAGACTCATAAAAACTGTGGACTGGGGTCTGTGTAGCTGCTAAGCTGAGCCTAGTACATTATTTATTCCAATATTCAAAATATAAAAATAAACTGAGCAAATTGTTAAATATCTGAAAGAAGGAACAGTATATAGCAAATGTCTTGTTAGTTGTGTGTTAAGCAGCAATTGTTACCCAACTGGTCAGTCCCTCTCTGTGTCTGGCACAGTTCCACAGTTCTCCAGACAGAAAGGCAGGGAGGGCCGCACTGACACTGAGTGATGGGTCTGCACCCAGGGCAGCTGTGCTGGTCTACAGGGCCCCGCTGGGCCCAGAGAGGCCCTGCTGATGCGCACATCATTAATGCTGAAAGAGATGAATTTGTGTCTGTGCGATGGTGCACAAACCCACAAAGCCAAGGGAACCCTGCATTTGCTTTCACCCTTCCAAAAAGAAAATACAAGGGACGGGATAATTTTGTTTGACTCTTACCACAATATTTATTCACCATATGGTCAGCCTGCTTCTTGGCATCGTGCGAAAGCAACATCCCCCCCCCCCCCCCCCCCCCCCCAAAAAAAAAAGGAAGAAGCCAGAAACGACAACAACAACAAAAAGCCCAATGATATTCCGCCTCACATCATCATCTCTAAAAGTAGGGCAGCCTACGCTTTGAACATAAGGCTTCTCTGCATGGTTATTAACCCACTCAAACGGACACATGCATCGCATTATAGCACAGGTACAGGAGCTTACAGGATATTTATATTTATTTATGTTTGTTTTGTTTTTTTTTTAAGTGGATTTTGATTGGACATAAGATGAAAACAGTAGTAAATTATAAGCCATACGCATCTATGTGCTCAGTAATTCATACTCTCCATATCCATTAATAGAAAATCAACAGGAGTATTGACTGCTACAACTTGTTTTCCAATTTGGAACAACATTGCTTGGACACCATCAATGCTTAATTGTTTCCATATTGGCCTTTTTTGTTTGTTTGTTTGTCAGGGCTTTGGCATAACAGAGTAATCTAAACAGTGACTGCCCCCCACAAGGCAGCTGTGTGCTCTAACACACCTTTCGCACTGTGCTGCTGCTCTGTGCTTCGGTGTGAGCCATGGCCACATGGTTTCACAAAGGGGACCGATGTGTTTGCTGTTAAAAGACTCGTCAGTGGGTGACCTCTTTTATAGTATGTGGGTTAGTTTCAGAGGAAAAGTAAAGTTGTTTGTTTCAGCCTTTTCTTTTTCCATGTTTGACAGTACAGTACGTTACAGTTTTCTTTTTTTTAGTAACTTCCTCATTGTGAAACAGTAAGGAGCCCTGACACAGTCTCTTAAATTTTTACTAACTTCGCTTTTAACAGAAAAAGCTGCAGCAGCAAACGAGGAGGAGGTGCAGAAGGCTGACGTCTCATCAACAGGCCAAAGTGTGATCGACAAAGACGCCTTGGGACCAATGATGCTGGAGGTGGGTGCACGGCCTTTTCCTCCTTACTCATAGCGCCATATGTGAAGAAAATATTATGAAATGCCAGACTCGTGCTGAAGTACCCCACACTGCCAGCATCTTGTATCCGCCCCTGATTGGCTATAAATCACAAGCGGGCCAATGGGGCCCTGTTGTACCACGAAGGACCACTGGAGTGCTTACATATAATAGGAAAGAAAGCAACAGCCTGGCGGATGAATCAGTCCATTGAGCCTGTCCTCTCACTCACTTCCTCCCTCCCTTTCTCTCTCCTGCTTGTTCAGTTCTCTTTCCTCTCTGTCTCTCCCTCCCCATCTTCTCTTCCTTCGCCTCTAGATCTGTCCTGTCATGGAATATTTATAGCTCTCCTGGTCCAGCGTCACTGAATCGACATACTAACTCGCAGCTAAATATAGACCAGTGCAGCCTGCAAGCTTTCCCATCTGTCAGCAGCCCCAAAACACAGCGATCGGCCATTCACACCCGCTCCGCTCTAGCCATGTCCCCGTCTGCCAGCCCAGGCTAATTACAGTGTGCTCTGCGGAGTATGGCTGTCGGCAGGAAATGCACCCACGCGCCCCATGACCCTCCTTCAAGGCCTTCTGCTGCCCACTCTCATGCCAACTCAAAGACGGACAAGGCTGTGAAGAAACATTAGTGTGCTGTTGTTTTAACCTTCTGGGAGCAGTCTTCTTCTGTCACATGATTTATTGTGGCATGTAGTTTGCATCCTTGCTAGCCCACGCGGTACAGAGGCTGTTGTGTGTTTCATGCATATTTTTGCCTCTACCAACAAAGTGTTAAGCATCACTGTCATACAGTACTAGAGGCATGTTTGAATTGCTTTAAGACAGAAATGTAGAAAATGGCTAATATTAAGCGAGAATTTATGAGAAGAGAGAACTCTGGTTGCAAAGCACTGCTCAGATTTAAATAATCCAGAGAAATTCCCAGATTCCTACCCTGCTGCAATTCATTACCTGCTGTGTAGCAATATTTAATCATATGTGAAAACAATAGGTTCTATGATATCACTCACAATGTATTTATTCAGGCTTTATTAATTTGTAGTTGCTGTAGAAATGTCTCTAGTGTTTATATTTAGTATTTAGGGAGGGTGTTGCAAATTAAGGTATTGGCTAAGAACATTATGCAAGAGTGTCTGGAGGAAGGCAGGCGTTGGCACTAGAGTGTTTGCTCTGTTTTTGTTTGCCCTACTTGTGCAGTTCATGGCCTTTCTTCATGCAGACTGGACTTACACAACCGTGTTGCATTTTGGAACAGCTCTGCTTCATGCAGTGATAGATGAGATCTCCTTAATCTATTTTCAGATCGTGCTGTGTTAAGGCGTGCAAAGGAAAACTTTCTTCTCAACATGATCATGTGTTCCCGGGATATGGGTTTGCTACATCCAGACTTGTCTGTTCACTGTAGATTTGTTAGGAAGTGTAGTTTGAGACATATACACTATAGTTATAGATGAGCAAGGATGCCAAAAACCCAACACGATACAAAATAAACATTTACGTTATAAATCCTCTTGCTACCCATTGAACAAGTCATGTGACCCTACACGCTGACAAGTGTGTGTGTAGTGTAGATAATGTTTATTTAAGCTGAGGTGAGACACCTTGAGAAGAGTCTCTTGCGTCTTATCTTGACATCAACTTTACAGCATTACAAGCAGCAGAATTCCCTTTTTAAGAGCTCCCGGTGATTTGATGGCCTAATTGACACCACCTTGTGTGTAATGGCTGACCTGGGGCTGTATTCTTTCAATTAAGTACTGCTCCTCCTTCACATCCGCCCGTCTCTGCAGGCACATGCTTTTATCCTGCTTTTTATCAGCCACAGCGATGGTGAGCGTCTGTGGGAGTGATCCATGTACCCGGCACATGGCGTACTAATCGTTCCTCTTCAGACACAACTAGTACATGTGTCGGCTGTCATGGGGATGTTAGCATCAGCAGTCGTTGGAGTTTTTAGATAAACTGTGCCTTCACTGAGTCGCCTGGCATTATCTGTGAGATCATAGAGGTAACAGTGCATTAGATGATGTTGCGGAAAATAACCAGACGTGGCGAGATTTCCTTTTTTGTTAGGGAGTTGTGGAAGTATTGCGTATTGTAGAATTTGCCATGATTTGTGCCAACATTTTTGTGCTGTATAAGCATTCTTGCTGGAGCACACTAATCACATCTCAGGCACAGTAGGCGCAAATAGAACATCCCTAATGATAATGAGCTAACGAGCTAATTGGTAATTAAGTTACAATAAGACAAACAAACAATAGAATTCAGTAGAATATACATCTTTCTCTGCGTCTGTTTGTGGAGTTTATATGCTTAAAACTGGATATCCTGACCATTAACCAGTGAAAGAAAAATGACCCAGTCCATAGTGAACAAACTTCTGAACTGTCTTTTTTTTTTTAATCCTCCAGGCTCTGGATGGCTTCTTCTTTGTGGTGAACATGGAGGGTAACATTGTGTTCGTGTCAGAGAACGTGACCCAGTACCTGCGCTACAACCAGGAGGAGCTGATGAACACCAGTGTCTACAGCGTGCTGCATGTCGGGGATCATGCTGAGTTCATCAAGAACCTGCTGCCTAAATCCCTCGGTTGGTTCAGAGATTGTTTTTTCCCCCTTTTTTTTCTTCTTGCTGTCAGTTTCTGTCTCACTGTGTCTCTTTTAGTCCATGTCCCTCGCTTTTCCTGACTTTGCATGTATGTCCTTTGTGCTGTGCTTCCGCTGCCTCTTAACACCCTCGCCTCTCTCGTTCTCCTTATTCAAACAGGTATGTTGTAGGTGGCTGTTGTTGCAGTGATGTCAGATTAATTAAAACATTTAAACGGTCACGGTCAGAAAGCATTTGATTCAGCTGTTTAACAGAGACTTTTAGGATGCTGCAAAAACCTATAGGTTCTTCATTTGTCCCTTTTGCTGACGCTCAGCCCAAACATTTGCTCGCACTCGTCCTCCCTCCCTTTTCAGCTAATTAACTTCCTTTTTTTGGCTTCTCTCCCCTGTCAGCAGCATCGTGCGCCTCCTATATTTCCATTTCATGTCCTTCCTTCTCCTTCTCTTCACTTATTTGTGTCATTCTCTCTTTCTCTGCCACGAACGCTCACCAAGTTCCTATTTTCATGTTCTCACTTTCCCATTTTTTTAGCCCACACACGGAAAACATTGCGTTTATCCTCACCTTACTCCATTTATTCTGTCACGTAAGATAGAATTTACTTTCATAGCCGCGGCCATTTAACATCCTGCCTCTGCATGACTTCCGCACAAGAGGTGATTTTTGATCTGTGCCATTGGAGCTCATCAGGAGCTCGAAGTTTTCCTCTCCTTCTCTCGTGGCGCTTCGGATTGAGGTCTGAGTACCCAGCCCATCTGGGTGGGAGAGCAGCGCAGAGCGAAGCACCCTGGAAACGATCAGTGGGCTGTGTCCCAGATACTGGGAGATTATCAATGCACTGAATGAGATCACAAACCAGATGGAGTGTGATGGGAGTTTGTTAGAGTGAACAGAGTGGCGTGTGTGACTATACGTTTCTTTCTTTGTGTGCACGTACGCGCACGGCCGCTTACACATGTGTGTGCCCTTTCTGGTGTGGTTGCTCGCGCCTGTGTAAGTGTTGGAGAGAAGAAGAAAGATTGGCAATGATGTTTTACAGGACATGCATATGGAGGCCTGGCTGTGATGCATAGCTGTGGATAGATGGCGCAGGGCTCAGGGTTCCAACTGCTCATTATGACTGATCTCTACCCAGCAACAACCCTCTCTTTTTTACACTTTTTCTGCCTTCATTCTCTCTGTCTTGCTCTCATTATGTCTTTCACTTGCAGCGTGGTAGCCTCTCTTGGCTCGCTCGTTGCAGCTCCCATTCTCCGCGTTCTGTTGTTCAGTTTTTGCTGCAGTACAATTTGCTTAAAAAAAAATCTCCTGTTCCCTTTCCTCCCCCTCGATTTAGTAAATGGTGTCCCGTGGTCCAGCGAGGGTCCAAGAAGGAACAGTCACACTTTCAACTGCCGAATGCTGGTCAATCCACACGGCGAGAGCCAGGAAGAGCCACACGAGCACGAGCCGCAGCAGCAGAAATATGAGACCATGCAGTGTTTTGCCGTTTCGGAGCCCAAGTCCATCAAGGAGGAAGGAGACGGTATGCAAGGAGGGAAAAACGGAGACTAAAGTGGCACCCTATGAAACACACTTAAGCATTTCCTACTAGGCACAATTGCGTTGAATGTTATAGTTTGCTTTGATTAAGTCTAAACCATTTGCAGTAACCTTGTTAAATAGTTTTATAGTATGATTAGGTTCCAAGAGCGAGAAAATAATATAGCCTGAAGTACAAAGGTGTTTGAATCATCGGGGGAAGCATTTTAACATTCAGCAACCTGACCCTTTTAGAAATTGCACACACTTATGTCAGCACGTTAAAACACTTGACAGAGGACTGAAAGACCTCTTCAGAAAGTAATTCAATTAAAACTGACAGTTTGCTTTGGAGCGTTCAATTAAAAAGCAAACAAAAGCAAGGATTTGTCTACTCGTATAACATTAGAATGAATTCTGCCCTCTTCAGTGGAGAGCTGAGTCGAGCGGGATCAGACTTTTTTTTTTTTTTTTTTTTTTAAAGTAGTGTAAAGATATACACACACCATCGACAAAACCTGGAGAAGGAAAATAAGAAAGCTTGCTTGTCTTTAAGAAACGCTGGTTGCCACCCAATGTAAAATCATTTAAAGTAATAATCAGCTGCTAGTCATTCATAGAGCGTTGATTGTTGACCATTATCTGTCTTATAACTGGATTTGTATGGCCAAATGATGAAGAGCAGTGCTGCTGCCACTCAACTTACACCCATGAAAAGTTAAGTGACACAAGGGAGACGGGAGGTTGGGCAGCTGTCATTAAAGCTCATCTATAATTCATGTACATCCCTTCCAAACCTGGGCTTATGACTCCAAGGGAACCATGTGCTTTAACCATGTAATGCAACAGCAAAAGCAGTCATTCAGTACTTTTCACAACAGCTTGAACACAACAACAGAATACAAACAAACTCGACACATTTGGGAGCATTTGTGTGTAAAGAAAGAAGAGGAATTTGTGTTAGCTTCTTGTATAAACATCTGTTCTCCTTTCCAGGGAAGCGATTTTAAATTGTATGTTGTTTCTGCTCTGCTTTCGGAGTTCAGTCACTGAGAGGTCACAGGGCTATTCCAGTGGTATTCAAGGCTTTAGATGGGAGCATGAGATGCTGAAGAGTGTAAAATTCCATTACAAACGACCTTTAGCCAGAATATTTCAGGACTTGTGATTGTACAGCAGCCTAAATCCCTTTTGTTCAAAGGCTATATTGCCAATCTTTAACTCAGCGGCAAATTAAAACAATAAGCAAATGTTTTACTCCAAATCTAGTTAGAGCCTTTTCCCTACTCTCTGGCTTGCTTTTTGTGCACCAGCTGTTTGCCAGCCATACTTTGGCAAGTAGGCCAAATAGGACTCGGGCCAGAGGTGTGCCAGTGTTTGTGTGTACTGAAGTGGCAAAGCAAGATGAGTGGTTACCAGTGCAGGAATCTGTCCAGCTATAGACAGAAACAGGGGGAATGGAGGCGATGGAAAGCAAGAAATTAATGTAGATTCACAGATTTGAGGGTCGGACCACCCAAGAGGCTTTTTAATAGGACTGTGTGCGTGTGCGCGTGTGTGTTAGTTCTGGCATGCATTCATTTACAAGAAACGTGTATGGGAGTGTGGGTATTACTGGCACCGAAAAGTTAGATGGCAGACTTTTTGGGGTCACCCCAGTCCTGGACTTGGCAGTGTCATATTTGCCATCAGTCAGTCAGCGCTTCACACACACACACAGACTTTAATGTTGAGCCAGGAGAGGTGTCATCAGTGTTAGATGTTCCTGCAGGTGAGAGTAGCCAGAGATGGGCATTCAAGCTCTCTTACACACACGTGCACACGTGCACACACACACACACACACACACACACACACACACACACACACACACACGCGCGCGCCTTCAAAGGTCACACTTCATCATTTCCCTTGCCAGCGATAGCTGCTCCTCCTCATGAAAGGAGCGGAGCCCTGATCCCTATGCTCATTAATAACTGTATTAATTATGCTGCCTGGGAATAACATGCATTTCATTTTCTTTCCCTCCCTCTGTCTCTATCATTTACACCCCATCCCTCCCCTCTCTCCCATCCCTTCCCCCTTTCACCTCTTCTGTTTATCTCTCTGTTTTTGTTTTTTTTGTTATATACTCCATCTCCTATTTTCTTTCCTGTGCTATTCTGTTTTCTCTTTCTGAGTTTTTAATTATTTTTACTTTATTTTTTTTTTTTTTTTTTTTTAGACTTTCAGTCGTGCCTGATTTGTGTAGCTCGCAGAGTGCCAACGAAGGAAAGACCCATGCTTCCCGCGCACGAGAGCTTCACTACACGTCAGGACCTACAAGGTACACGAACATGTCAGCCGGCAGTGAACTACAAACCGCTGTTCACAGAAAACTTTGCTCTTGATTTTTTTTATTGCATCTTTGTTTTAGCATAGCATCTTTCCATATGTGGCTTTTCAAATAAAACTTGGCCCTGCATCAAAAGAATGGTGTAACGATTCTAGTAAGGCAAAGTTCCAGCAGTACCTTATTTGATGTCAACAGCTTGTAAATCACTTTGCACTACAGTTAGGGATTCAAAGAATATTATATCCTCGGTAAAGATCCTTAGGATTGAACAACTTAGTAGACCCAGCTTCCTACCACAGGCTGCTCTCTGGGAGGTAAAGTACCTGCCTGAACGCTGGCACACAGACACAGACAGCTGTTTGTGTTTCACCTGGTCTTTGATGTACCCGTACCACTTGTGTGGCACAGACACACACACACACACTTAGTCACTCATGTATAGTAATTTACTGTGGTTTCCCACACAGACCTCAGTAGCCATGCATCTAGGCAGGGCTATTATTTATTTGCCTCTTTATTTGGACTGCATAATTTTAAATAATTGCTGTGATTTGTTTTATTCTAGATTGACAGCATTATTTTTCTCTCATATTTTGCTGAAAGTACTGCCTCTACATTCTTGTTATGCCTACAAGAGCTTCTTGGACATGGTGCGGAGCTGTGAATAGTTCTATTATGGATGCTAGTTTGACAAGTCTTTAGTCAGTCCCTATGGCTGTCATTCAAGCAGCAGTGTGCTTGTCACCCTTTCAAATGCATCATACTTTCATTTAAATTGTATTCCAGTGAGGGACAACTGTTACACTGCTGTGACTGTGTTTACACACGCAGCATGAGAGTACTTGTTGGACTCTAAAGATAGTTGAGGCTGAGCTGCCCTGAACTCATTACCTGCTGTAATGAGTGTCTAAATGGTGGTCTTTTTAAATTTATACTGACAGCACTTATAATTGTATTTCCATGTCTAATCCTATATAGTCAGGACCTTCTATTCTGTTTACTAACACAGAAGCCATTTCTAACGTTGGGTAAGCTGTAATTAGAATGTAAACAAAGATTTATAATGTATTCTTTAAGTAATATTAAACCACTGAGATCCTGGCCGAGTCAACAGAAGAGACATTTATTTTTAATGTCGACATTAAATCTTTACATTTGTGTATGTCAACCGAAATGCTTTCCTTTATGACTAAGGTCTCTCTAATCCCGTACTGTGTGCTTAGGTAAGATAACATCCCTAGATACCAGTCTGCTACGAGCATCCATGAAGCCGGGCTGGGAAGATCTTGTGAGGCGCTGCATCCAAAGGTTCCACCTACAGAATGATGGAGAGATGTCTTTTGCAAAGAGACACCAGCAGGAAGGTAATTCCATTAACTATGAGGACAATCGTGTTTAATTTTTTGCTCTGGATATTAGAGTCATTGGGGATGGCTGCATTAGCATGAAACGGTTGTTTAAAGAGGGGCTGCAGCCACATTAAGGAAATGGTCAAATGAAAAGTGTTATTTTGCCATCAATGTGTGTACATGTGTGCCTAGTGCTCCGACACGGCCAGGCGTTCAGCCCCATCTATCGGTTCTCCCTCTCTGACGGAACCATCGTCTCAGCCCACACCAAGAGCAAACTGGTACGCTCGTCTGCCACCAACGAACCTCAGCTCTACATGTCCCTGCACATCCTACAGAGGTATGTCCTACCTGTTCCACGTGAGTCAAAAAGACTGACATAAACCCGAGGCATCAACTTGCTAGCATGTTTTGTCCTGTGAGTTCCCTGCAGCACTGCCTGTTGGCTTCATGGAAATTGTGAGGATGGCACGGTTTTCAAAATATGTGCTTCCAAGTGTTCTTGGTCAAAATCAGACAGCGATATGTTACACCCCCCCAAAGAGAAACAAAACCAGAAAAAAAACCAAAACAAACATATTTTCTCACTTCCTCCTCATGGTAAATTCATGTATTTGTATTCATACTTTGTCTCATTGTTGGCAAACAGAAGAGTTTTATTACATGTCATATCCCATCCTTGGCATGCACATTGACATTTTTCTTGCAGTATAGTTTATACTGTATAGATTATTTACCCTTTACCCTATTGATTTTCTGCGCATCTCATTGTGCATGCATTCATATGATAGTAAAAAGCGTATTTGAAGAAATGCAGAAATGTTCCTTTTCAGTTTAAAGCAGCCAGTTTTCTAAGATTTCTAACTCCCATGTACAACTTTTGGTATTGTTTTTTTCTAATGTGTGTGTTTGTGTTTTAAAATCCAGGGAGCAGACAGTATGTGGAATGGGTCAGGACATGGGCCCTGGCAATCAGGCCACAGGGATGGCTCCCAAACCAATGAACTCTTCCACTCCCTCCATGACTCCTCCAACCCCAGGCAGCTTGCCAGGTTCAGGGCCTCAGGGCCAGGACACTACCATCAGCAGCAACAGCACGCCTTTCTCCCCCCCAGGTCCTGCTGGTCCCAGAGAACCAACGGCTATGGGGGGGCATATGCAGGTCTACCGCTTTGGCTGTCCTCAGCCACACAACCACAATGGGAGCATGCAACCACCACAGCAGGGCCCCAACTGGAGGATGAATAGCCCCTCTCGTGCCAGCCCAAGCCCAGCCGGAGGACCCCATCCACCTCCGCAGAACTCTATGCTATCACCCAGGCACCGAGGGAGTCCTGGGGGTGCAAGCAGCCCTCGTGTAGCAGGGGGTCTGCATTCACCCTCACCAGTGGGGATGTGCAGTGGAGGGCCTGGAGGTGCAGGAAGTAGCACGGCTAGCACCCATGCTAACAGCTATACTAGCAGCTCTCTGTCAGCTCTGCAGGCCCTTAGTGAGTGCCATGGTGTAGGACACGGGCATGGACCCCCTCATACACATACACTAGGGTCTCCAGACCGGAAAATGGGCTCCCCAGCTGGGGTCACACCAGGGTCAGCGGTAAACGCTCATCTGATGTCAAAACTTGGAGGATCCACCAGTGCTATTGGTGGTTCAGGAGACTCATTTGGACCTCATTCAGAGATGAGTCAGGGACACACCCAGGCCCAAACAGAGGGGAACTTAGTGGAGCCCAAGGAGGAGAGGGATGGACCCCTCGAGGGCCATGATGCTCACAGCCGTGGACATGACAACAAGGGCCACACCAAGTTACTGCAACTGCTCACCACCAAGCCAGAACCCCTGGAGACTCCTCTTTCCCCTGGTGCAGGAGTTGAGGGCAAGGACCAGGCTGGGACAGGGGTCCGGGGTGGCAACACTCACGCCACGTCCCTTAAAGAAAAACATAAAATCCTCCACCAACTGCTTCAGAACAGTACATCCCCCGTGGATCTTGCTAAGCTCACCGCAGAGGCTACAGGCAAAGAGATGGGCCAAGACCAACCCCAGGGTTCCGGTAGTGCTGCTTCTGCGGCAGACATTACTCCTAAGCAGGAGCCATTGAGCCCCAAGAAGAAGGACAATGCCCTGCTACGCTACCTACTGGATAAGGATGACACTGTAATGAAGGACAAGGTCCCTAAGCTAGAGCCTGGGGAAGTGAAAGTCGAAGGGGGCAAACACCCGCAGGTCAAGGCGGAGAAACAAGATGCAGGATACGACCGCGCTGAACAGGTCAGTTTAACGGAGTTAATCTTGTTTCCTGTCTTTTTCTTCTTTGAAATGAGTAAAGGACTAGAGTTACCCCAAAACTAACTGTAACCTCTTTAGCCTGTTGCAAAAAGCAAAAGTTTTCTGCCCTCTATTGCTCCACTTGCCTCTTCTCTCTGTTTTGCATGAATCTGGGTTAGGTAGCAGATGCCACGTCCATGCAGGATGTTACAGCTAAATGTACAAACAGTCAGGGAATGCAGAAGGCAAACAATATTTGTTGCGCATATATACATTCCGAATGACCAGCATATACACTGAACTCATTGTGTATGCTCTTTATTAATGTATATAAACACATCAGGTCCTTTCACTGCCTGTGTGTTGGCAGCTGAGGGAATCTATCCGCCAGCTTCAAACAACTGTGACATTTGGAAGGAGCCCCTGTGGTTCTTCAGCCATTTGATCCTGGTTGCTTTTGGCCAGATTCCTCAGGTTTGGCACCGTGCTCAGGTCAAGACTGGCGCTGAAAGAGAGAAAGGAGTCAAAGGAAGTGAGCGGGCAGAGTGTTGCTGGTGAAACTCAAAATTTCTTTGTAGCTGATGTTCTAGCAAGGCAGAGTGTTTAGAACAACCTGCTGATGCCCTAATGCAGGAAAGAAACCCGGTATCACAGACACTCACAAGCTTTCATACAGGAAACCTGCACATGACACGCTCTACTAAACACCTATGCAAGCCTGCAAGTGTCATTCTATCACATACTCTTCACTGCTAAACCGCAGAATTACAACAAATGACATATAATTACATAAATGCCCTTCCTTTTCTTTTCTGTCTCTGTATCATTAGCTTCCTCTTCTTCGACCAGTCACGTAGTCTGGGTTGCATGCATGCCATTTAAATGTCAGTAACACTGAACAGAGGTCACATTTTTTTGTCAAAGTGCATGTTCATTTTTTTTATAAAAAGGTAATCTGTGTGCAAACTGTGCTTACTGTGGATCAGGGTGCAGATAACCTGGTTTGATTGTCCAATTTGAAATGTCCGCCTACAAAAGAATAACCTGCGTCAGAGTGGGTTTTAAGGGAATTTATAAAAATCAATCTTTTTTTATTATTATTATTTATTTTTTAATATATTTTAGGCTTTGTTTTTTTTCTCCATTCACAGAGAGACAGCGGCACCGACTGTCACGCAGCTATGCACGCTCGCAGTGTATGTACAGTATGTGCTCGTGTGCTGGGGTACATAATGTGAAGAAGAGGGAAAGGTGATTGGTTGGATAATACAGTAAGAGCCGCTGTTAAACTGAACAAAGAACGGGAGAGGAGAGAGGTGTAGATACCCCCAGGAGAGGCCAGCCTCGGCAGGCAGAGTGAAAATGATGAGCCATATGCTCCTGCATGTCCTCTCTGCTACCATGGAGATAGAGGGGAGAGGGAGTGGTGTGTTTGCAGAACGTGCAAGAAACAATAAAGAGAATTAGAAATTGAGAGAAATCCAGGTTTTAATGTGTAATGCCAAAGGGTTTTATTTTGTGGAAGTGGCCAGTATACAAGGGAACACAGTTAGACTGTATTTTAAAAGGATTTCGTTTGCCCTACATTTAAAGTGCAGCTGAAATGAGGGAATTCTGGGTTTTTGCCTTTAGTACGTTAACACACTCACGACTTAATGTGGTGACACATTCCAGTTTAACAGATCTCATTAACTAGAACAAGAGCATTTTGTTAGACGTGCACTAAGCTGAGGCTTCATTAGAGCCTTTACATGTGTGTGAGTGGGCTTCTGTTCCTTACTGGTGACTTGCTGCTTGGCCATGTGTGAGAGCTGACTGTACTAGTTTGAGTCCACTCATCCTCCTCTCCACTAACCTCACCCACTATTTTCTCGCTGACGCTCCTTCCCTTCCTCTGCCTTTCTCGTCCTCATGATTGTTGAGGGCTGAATTATTGATGGCTGGAGCAGAGCTAAATGAGAAATCAGAGCAGAGCTCTGATGGAGTTATGAGTATGGCTGAAAACAGGGGTGGTTCAGACTTGTACCAAACTGCCGATCAGATCGACTATTAGCGATTGACGAGGCAGTTAACAGATATTTTCCCTGACAATGATAATCTTTGATATTAAATCCGTAAAAGTGACTCTGCTCTTTAATCCCTAATTTAAGGAAGTCAGTTTGTTATTCCTTCATCCGATCTTTAACTTCATTTTTCATGTGCTTGCTCATGACCAAAGCATCTGGCTTTGTCACATGTTCGCTGTGTCACATCTGCCAAATAAGATTAGAAGTTTAGGTGACAATGAGGTAATAGGCTGTATCTGACTCACTCTCTTACCTGCTTCACTATCTTTACATTTTCTGTTTTCTTAAGACTATCTCTGAAGCTAAAATTGACTTCTTATTGTACCATATATACACCAATAGACCACACCGTCAAAACCACCTACATTGTTGTGGTGCACCGTGTTCCCCGTTGAGACATGGTACTCACATTATGTCTGAGTGTGTGCTTTTAGGTTCAGTTTCAGGCACCAAGAAGTTTAAAGTAGATCTATTTCTTCAAGTTGTTAGGTTCTTCTTTCCAGCATGTTCCACAGATGCTCAGTGTGATTGAGATCTGTGAAATTTGGAGGCCAAGTGAAAACTTTGAACTCACCACTATCGTTCTTAAATCATTCTTGAGGAATTTTTATGATGCAAACATTATCCAGCCGAAAGAGGTCACTCCCATCATGGATTAAGGTGTTTCTGTGGTCTGTAATATTTAGCTAGGTGATATATTTTAAAATATATCACATCAATCCGTGAATCTAAAGTTTCTCAGTTGAATATTCCCAGAGTATTAACGTACCTTCACCAGCTTGCCTTCTGCCTTCTCTTCCCAGGGTTAAAAGCCCACAGGTGGTCAGACTAGGCCACATTCCCCAGTAGTGGTGCTTTCAGTAGCGGACATGGGGCAGCATGCAGGTTTCACCAGTTTTTACAGTAACTCTCAGACTAGTCTTCACTTCCTTTGGTGGCTTCTTTGAGCTATCACATTTTGCAGCATGACTCTGGGGTGACTTTTTCCTTTTTCCTTACTTGACAGTGCCACTTCTGCTTTTCTTGGCCTTTCTCACTTCCCTTTCCTATAAAATTTCATGCGCTATATCATGGCTTCTGGAGGGCTCCTGTGTCCTTTTGAAGTCCACATCACCATTAGGGCACTGGACGTTTAATGGAAGAGTTGGAGATTACTCGCATGTCACACTCGCAGTGTTGGTCTGTTACTAAATACCAGTACTTTGAAAGCGTGCTTTGAAATTGTATGTTAACTAATGTTTCGAATACAACTATTGCAACAGATAACAGAGTTTTTAAGTAGTGCTTTTTGTAGTTGCCATTTGGAATTTTTTTTTCTGCCGGACCTTTTAAAGACTCAGTAAAGAAGTTGTTAGGTCAAACATCACGATCTTACTACACTCCCTGAAAATTGCAGTGCTCCTTTCATACAGGAGCGCTGGAATAGTTTACTTGCAGTTTACTTTGATGCCTTTTATGATACAAGTGCTGTTTATAACTCACATGTGGCTTCAACTTACAACTAGCCATGTGTCCCACTTCATATATATATTGTGTATTTGTCCTACAAAGGCTGCTGGAAATGTAAATCAGCTCTGCAGTGAAAAATGATCCTTTTTATGGTTTTAAAATCTTTGATTTCTTTCATTATTTTGTTTTAAATGAAATACAGTAAAATGGTGAGAGATGCAGAAAAGGAGGGCTCACATTGCATTACATGCACCGACATGCATTTGAAAGTGGAGTGTAACATGAATTGATAGAAATGGGACCCATTAAGGGTAAAAGCAACTGGAGAAGTGGAGAGAATAGAAAATGGGAGGAGAGAGAATTGAAGAGGAGGAGGAGGAGGAGAGCAAACTGAGAGTGTACAGAAGCATTACATCATTCCTGACCTCATTAGGGCTTTTCTCTCTCCCACCACCACCGCCACCCCTCACTCTGTTACTCTCTCTAGCTTTCCTACATATCCTGTCTGCTTCTAGCTGTGATCAGCTATGTGCGGCTGTCTATATTCGGCTGTACTGAGATACTACTTAAATAAAATCTTCCAAGATGTGAAATAAATAAATAAATAAGAAGTGCATTTGGGCATAACCGAGACGAGGCTGCAGTCCTTGAGCCGTTTAGATAATTTGTTCTATCAGGCATATTTGGCAGCCTTCTATCTGTAGCAGCAGTTACATGCCCAACAAATACATGTCATTGTCAAGTACAACATTGAAACAGTGCTGGTGTGCTGCTTTCCTGCTGTACAGTATGTCATGATCAGGGGATTCAGTGATTCTGTATGTGCTGCACTCTGGTGGACAGTTGCAGCTAGTGCAACTTATTTACTCAAAGTCCCTCAAGCCTCGCTAGAAAGTGCCCGGATCACTTTTGTGAAATTGTAGTTTCTTTTTGGTTGTTGTTTTTTTTTAAAGGGTGTGGGTTGCCGAGATGTTTTACTGAGCTGCATTATTCAAGAGTTCCTGTTATTGTGTCCTCCGCATCTGTGACAGAAAGATAAATACACGCCATGCCAGTGTTGTGAAACGGACACTAAGAAGTTTATTCTTTTGTGGTTCTTCCAGTTCTTTTGTTCAAGATCAGGTCCACAGCATGCCCTTGTGTTTGAGTGTGTGTGGAGAAATGAAACAGAAATTGTATAGAGAGTCCAGCTGTGTATGAATGCAGCTTCAGGCTGCAAAGAGTTGGCTCAGTACAGCTGTTTACAGTAAGGAGGCAGAGAGGAGTTCAAACAGTTGGCATTAGCCCGACTGCTGCTTATATCTGCTCTACTGTTTTACTTTGGCAGGACAAAGTTTAAGTAGCCACATGTTTTCTGTATTTGTTGTTTTCTTAGTTCAGTGGGAGTAAAATTTTGGATTTAAAAGTAGAGAAGTTGTAATAAACCTCCTGAAAGAACCACTCAGCAAGCGCAAAGTAGAATGAGAATCTGGGAAGCTAAGTCAAAGTGAAGTCTGGCCTAGATTTGATGTAAAGTGCTCCATTTTTTTTTTTTCTTCTAGTTATCCTGTTTTATAAACAAGGCCAATCCCACTGAAAGACACCTCGTGGAAGTTTGCTTTCGGTAGATGTGCTTAATAATAATTTAGATTTGTGCATTTACAGGTGAATGAGTGAAGGGTTTCTTAATGGGAGCCTTAACAGCAAATTTAATTCACTTTTTTCCCCCCACTTGTCTATCTGTCCTCTAGTCATCGGAGCTGGATGACATCCTGAATGACCTGCAGAACGCTCAGCCACAGCTCTTCTGTGAGCCGCGGCCTGTTTCGTTGCCCAGTCCCATGGACAAACAGAACATCATCAATGACATCCTGCAGATGTCCGAGAGCAGTCCTGTCATGGCTGCACAGCCGCAACACCGGGGCCTTGGGCCCGGCATGGGACCCACTAGTGAGTCCCTTTCTTTGTTTGAAAAACAGAAAAAAGTGCACTAACCACATTGTATATTCATAAAATACTCCAATGAGCATGCAGGAATAAGCTGCATTTATTCCTGTCTTCAGACTTTGGTGGTGTTCGACCAGGCCAGCCAGGAAGGGGTTTGTCTGTTAGAAGTGTGTCTCTGGACGTGAATATGTCCCCCCAGCAGCCATCATTACAGTACCCCATAAGGACCACAAGCCCATACACTGTTATGCAGCAACAGCAAGGCATGGTGGGGAACCATGGCATGATGGGTAACCAGGCTGCTATGGTCAATGCAGGTAGGTGTGATGGTTATGATTTGCAGAAGCTTGTATTTGTCTGAATGTGTGTGATACTGCCTTCACACCTCACTATATCCTAAAAAAATGAATTAAATCCATGTTTAAATGCTTGTTTATGCTCAGATTGCTGGATGAAAATATTCAGTCTGTAAGAGTGGCTTATCTTGTTACTGTGCAGGTATTTAGCTACCAGAAGCTTTGTTTTAGTTTTGTAGTCTAATGATAAATCACATTTGAGCAGGCTTTAGCTGCATGAAGGAAACCCTGAAACATTGGCCGTCTTGCTCGGAGGCTAAATCTTGAGATCATTGTTTCTCAGATTACATAGCGCTGAATGTGTTTCCTCAGTTTAGATTGACTGTCTGTAATGAATCTCTTTTCAGTTTTTGACAGGTTTTTGTGAAGTGTGATTTCCACCTTTCAATCTCACAACAACCAAACAAGTAGAGACAGAAATGTATTTTTCTTCTCCTAGATAACTGTGGTAACACTTAGAGCTGCTCCTGAGTTCTGAGGAAGGACTTCGTTCCTCGTGTGTGTCGCTCACCCTTTAACGTATCATGCCATGGCACTGTGACTCACTTCCTGTGACAGGAAACAATCACCCACACTGGCACAAAGTTCTCTGACTGCTACTCCCACATATTAGTCTTTCCTCCTTATGTAGCATCATGGGGGCAGCGGGCATCTACTGAAATCTGTCCTGAGATTTTTCTCATTGGTTCTTATCTTCGTGTGTGTGTGTTCCCCCAGCACTGATGGCTCCAAGTGGTCCACGGCCAGGCATGCAGCAGCAGGAGGGCTGGGTAGGCCCAGCTTCTGCACCTCCTATAGGAGCGCCGGGCCCTGGTCATCAAAATGCCATACAGGGCAGGACGGGACCCAGTGGTACTCCCATGAGGCCCAACAGCCAACCAGGGCCCCGACAGATGATGCAGTCTCCAATTATGCCTAATAGTAAGAGCGCTGTGTACCAAAAAAATACATATTACAATGTTTTAAATGCAGAAAGAACCACACTGCTGGTTTTCAGACTGAGCAATGCAATAAAGCTATTTCCCAGCCCCTAAGAGAGTAACAGATTCTCCAGCATGTCAGTATAGAAACCCAGAACAAAATTACTTGTACTTTGTGGAAATTAGATCTGAGTTGTCAGGTGTGATCCATCTAAAACTCCTTAGCAGATATCTACACTCAACAAAAATATAAACGCAACACCTTTGTTACTGCTCCCATTCCCCATGGGATGGACGTAGAGACCTAAAATTCATTCCAGATACACAATATAACCATCCCTCCCAAACAGTGGTCACAAATCAGTCCAAATGTGTGGTAGTGGGCACATCTGCCATATTGAGATAATCCATCCCACCTCACAGGTGTGCCACATCAGGATGCTGATCTGACATCATGAGTAGTGCACAGGTGTACCTCAGACTGCCCACAACAAAAGGCCACCCTGGAATGTGCAGTTTTTTGCGCTATTGGGGGTCTGGGGACCCAGAACCGGTCAGTATCTGGTGTGACCACCATTTGCCTCATGCAGTGCAACACATCGTCGCATGGAGTCTATCAGATTGTCAATTGTGGCCTGTGGAATGTTGGTCCACTCCACTTCAATGGCTGTGCGAGGTTGTTGGATATTCGTGGGAACTGGTACACGCTGTCGTATACGCCGGTCAAGCACATCCCGAACATGCTCAATGCGTGACATGTCCGGCGAGTATGCTGGCCATGCAAGAACTGGGACATTCTCAGCTGCCATCTGCCCTGAACAATGTGAACCATGATTCATCCGTGAAGCGCACACCTCTCCAACGTGCCAGACGCCATCGAATGTGAGCATTTGCCCACACAAGTCTGTTACGGTGACGAGCTGGAGTCAGGTCAAGACCCCGATGAGGACGACGGGCATGCAGTTGAGCGTCCCTGAGACGGTTTCTGACAGTTTGTGCAGAAATTGTTTGGTTGTGCAAACCAATTGTTCCAGCAGCTGTCTGGGTGGCTGGTCTCAGACGATCTTGGAGGTGAACCTGCTGGATGTGGAGGTCCTGGGCTGGTGTGGTTACACGAGGTCTGCGGTTGTGAGGCCGGTTGGATGTGCTGCCATATTCTCTGAAACGCCTGTGGAGACGGCTTATGGTTGAGAAATGAACATTCAATGCACGGGCGACAGATCTGGTTGACATTCCTGCTGTCAGCATGCCAATTGCACGCTCCCTCATTGCTTGTGGCATCTGTGGCATTTTGCTGTGAGACAAAACTGCACATTCCAGGGTGGCCTTTTGTTGTGGGCAGTCTGAGGTACACCTGTGCACTACTCATGATGTCAGATCAGCATCCTGATGTGGCACACCTGTGAGGTGGGATGGATTATCTCAATATAGCAGATGTGCCCACTACCACACATTTGGACTGATTTGTGACCACTGTTTGGGAGGGATGGTTATATTGTGTATCTGGAATGAATTTTAGGTCTCTACGTCCATCCCATGGGGAATGGGAGCAGTAACAAAGGTGTTGCATTTATATTTTTGTTGAGTGTACTTGTCATACTTGTAAAAGCTGCCATCTAGTGGTTAACCACAGTGTAGCACATGGCGTTAACTCAGATCTGCTACCCTGCACGTTCCTTTATTTTAAAGAGTATTCACTCTTGATTCATCATGACCCATAAGTACTTCACTGTCTAATATTTAGCCAATCTTTTTTTTTTCTTCTCTATTTAGCCCAACCAGATATAGACATTGGAATGGTTGGTGATCATTTCTCACAACAACAGGCTCCACCCAACCAGACGGCCCCCTGGCCAGACAGCATGATGCCAATTGATCAGACAGCTTTTGTAAACCAGAGCAGGTAAGCTCATTACCAGCGTAGCTCAGTGGCATAATTTTACACAGTTAACATTTTTATTCTCATCAGACTTCTATATTTTTTAATAGTTTAACTGTTGGTCTAAATGTTTGCTGTGGCATATACAAGACAATGTTTTTAAAATATTTGTTTGTCTCCTCTTCGCTCAGGGCTCCACCCCAGGATGATCTGCTGTGCAATACAGGGCTCAGCTCAAGTGATGGCAGTGCAGTGGACGAGGGGGCTCTGATGTCTCAGCTGTACACCGCACTAAAAGACTTTGATGGCCTGGAGGAGCTCGATCGTGCTCTGGGGATCCCTGCTATGGTAGAACAGGTGGGATTTCCATCCTGCCAAACCTACATTATAACATTCTTGGTTTTTAAGTGATGTTTTATTATTTTTGTTTGTGGTGCTGCATTTTTTTAAATAATATATGGCTGCCTGTTTCAGAGCCAATCACTGGAGCCAGACCAGTTCCCCCAGGAACCCTCGGTGATGTTGGATCAGAAGCCCCCCATGTACACCCAGCAGTTCGGTCCCCCAGCATCACACATGGCACCGAGAGGCTACCCTGGTGGCCCCATGCAAGAGCCAGGTTTCCACCCGATGCCTGGCCAGATGGGTCCACGGCCAGGTTTCCAAATGATGCGAATGCCGGCCCGGCCAGGACTCAGGCCTACTGGAGTCGTCCCCAACCAGCCCAACACACTACGACTGCAACTCCAGCACCGGCTTCAGTCACAGCAGGTGCACATGAATCTAGACTGTCCTGACACTGCTGGAAGTACTCTTGCTCACTGATTCTTGACTCTACTATAACCTCTCTCTTTAGGATCGAGAACACACGGACAGGAATTGTGTTTTTATCCTTGAGGGTGACATTTTAGCAGCTTCGATGACAACATAGGAGCTTTTAAATCTACCTGCCACGCATTAGGCTTCCAGTGGACTTTAGCCTAATTCTAATGTAAAACTATAGATTATGTTATTTTCAAATCCTGATTAACAGTGTCTTCATAAAAATTAGATTATTTAAGGGTTTTAACCCTCCAGGGTCATGGATATAATTGGCCATTTTTTCCTACTTTTAATTTACTTTATACTTTTAAAATTAAGTATAAAGTTGAAATTATTTTTTTAAACTATGAAAACCACAAATATGTTTAATGCATCATATTCATAACTTGAAATGCAAATATAAATTGTTGTTTGCTAAATTTGTACACAGGCATGAAACCTTCGAGGTGTGTGACTCCTGTTGTCCACCTGCAGATAGCGTGTACATTTCAATCTGCCTTTGGTGGCTTTTTGGCCATTTCTGATATTCAGTAGTGGCTTCATTGACACACAACGAGCGGCCTCATTGTTTTGACACACACAAACAAAAACATGACTACACTACACACTAACTGTAGAATCCAAACATGCTAAATGTCTCGAAACTTGCTATTTATATCGCTCTCTTTTGCCATTACTTTCATTTTTTTCTCCTTTTCCTTAGCAACCAAATACCACATGTTGCCATAGAAGTGTGTGATTGGTTGATGTGATGTATTTTTCCACCAATAGGAAAGGTGTCTTGTTTTTGTTTTGTTTTGTGTTAGTGCTTTGAGGGCTTTCCTTGAAAATCCTGTTTGTTTGTTTGTTTGTTTGTTTGTTTTTGTTTTTTTAGACACACAGCATCTCCGTCAGCTACAGAGGGTTAAAAAGTGTATATTTCTCTCTGTAACAACCATTTTCCTCTGTTTTTTCTTCCAGCAGAATCGCCAACCAATGATGACTCAGATGAGCGGTGTGTCAAATGTGAACCTACCTCTTAGAACTAATGCTCCAAACCAGGTATATGCCCACTATCATTACATGAGCCGCCTGCACAGACATGTTGTGACTGTAGGTAGGGTTCATCTCTTTAATAGCTTGCAGTAAATTAAAGGCTATGATGTCAGTGTTGTGTAGACTTGCTTTTTGTAGATGCTGTTAGTGGGGGTTTTTGTTTTGTTTTTTATATTCAAACCACCTCTCTTACTTGAAGGGAACCATCAATGCTCAGATGTTGGCACAACGTCAGCGGGAGCTGCTGAGTAATCACCTGAGACAGAGGCAGCAGCAGCAGCAGCAGGTGCAACAGGCCCAGCAGGTCCAGCAGCAAAGGAGCATGGCCATGAGGGCTCAGGGCCTCAACCTGCCTCCCAACATGGCCGCCGGAGGCATGAGTAACCCTCGGAATCCCCAGGCCAACCCCCAGCAGCTCCCCTACCCGCCCAGCTACGGTACCAGTACAGGCCTGGCTTCGTCACCTCCCCCTACCAGCTCCTTCCCCTCTCCTCTCTCCCCCAGCCTGCCCTCTCTTACCCCCAACCTCCACCTGCATGGCACTTCCTCCTCTTCCTCCACTCCCTCCTCCTCCTCACAGATGATGATGGGAAACACAAACATGATGGGCGGACAGTACGGGGCCGTACTCAGCCCCCAAATGCAGCACAGTGCCTTTCAGTTTCCCAACTCAGGTACTGCTCCACCACCCCAGCCAACCACACACCTCACCCTACACCTCACCCTACTGCCTGTGTTCGTGTTCGTATGTGTGTGTTGATGTGACCACCTGAGCTGCTTCATGTGCTTTTTGGTAGCTGCTATCATGCAATTTGTAACTTTATATACTGATGACTAGAATAATCAGCTTCCATTGCATCATGCAAATCATACTTAATATTCTCCCCTTTAAAACGGAATAACTTGTGAGTAGTTGTCTGTAAGTGTGGCCATATGTCTTTATTATTTTGTGCGCTGTCCAAAAAGGGTGACCTGGCTATTCACTCTTGCTCCACCAGGGGACACTAGAAGCACAATAAAGCATTATTTCATGCTCCACACTGATGCCAAACTCTAAATATTGTGATCAGTAAGGACATGAATCATCTCTGGTACCTGTCAGTCTAACAGCTTGACATGCAGCCTGGGTATGATCTATATAATTTGGTAATCTGGTTTGTTAGAGAACTTTTTATTTATGGCTTGTGGGTGCCTGCAGAGCAATAGTTTCATCTCTCTCTCCCCTTTCTCCCTCCTGACCTATCTCCCAATCCATTTTCTTTCTAGTTCTCTGCCTTCTATTTGTCACATGCATGACGGAAATATAAATTTTGGCTAATAATTCTGGAATGGGCTATTATCGCGTGAGGTGCTCGTCAAAGTGTTTTGTCTTTATGTGGCATGTTTGTGTCATTTGCATGGAGTCGACTACACTTCCTTACTCATTGCATTGGTTTATTAACAAGTCTCCGTGGGTTGAGTCGGGCTGACCTCTTTTGATCCACAGGTATGAGCCAACAGGCAGATGGAACATTTGGAGGTCCCGGCACACCACAGAGCCCTCTGCTTTCACCCCGCATGGCCCACACACAGTCCCCAATGATGCAGCAGGGCCAGCAGAGTGCTGCTTTCCAGGGTTCCCCTGACATGAATGGATGGCCGCAGGGTAATATGGGAGTCAACAGGTAAGGATGGCTGATGCACCTCATTACAGCATCAGTTCATGTTGTCAACTCGAGTTCTATGAATATATGCGTAGCTATTTTTAGGAAGGGCTCGTGAGGAGATTCATGATTATCAACAACATTGTTGATATCCATAGAGAGTATTGACATCCATTATCCATAGAGTTGTTTGTACCACTTGTTAAAGATGAAAAACTTGCCAGATTTCTCTGGCTGACCGAGCAGGTCACACCCCAAAGTGAGTGTTGTCACGTACTTTTCTTTCTGCATTCATATTATTGATTTTGTGTTTACTTACACAACTTCTCTCTCCTCCGCAGTATGTTCTCGCAGCAGCAGGCATCGCCGCAGTTCAGCCAGCCGAATAACAGCAACATGTACAACGGCAATGGCATAAACCTCAACAACGCGTCACTGGCCTCCAACATGGCAACCAGCAGCATGGGCCAGATGGCCGGACAAATGAGTGTCACGTCCATGGCCTCGGGTCCCTCACCTGGCTTGCCCTCCATGGGGCAAGAACAGGTAAATACTTTCAGGCCAGTCCAGATACATTGGTCCTTTAAATGAGACAACATTAGGAAGCTTTTTTATTTTTTTTTCTAATTGTTAGAGCAAAAATGGTGAAACTTGAGTGGTTTAGGAAATACCCACTGGTGTTTCTCATCCTTTCACAGTCGGGCATCATCGGGCTTGGCCTGACCGAATTAGAGGTGTTCAGGGGCTCCTGTAATATCCTCAGGGTATCTCTTTACAGTCGTACTCTGTAGAAATCAGTTCCAGGTTAACTGAATGGACCCCACAAAGTTTTACACAGTAATCAGGGGACCAAGAAATACTAAAAGGCTTTTCTCTCCACTCCTGGCTTCTACTATCAGTGTTTGTCTTATCATACGACCCCGAGTGTTTGGGTACACTTACTGAACCAGCAGGCTAGTGAATAATTTAGTTGTTTACGTAACTCTTCTTGCTGTAGTTCTGCTGCATAACTTGAACTTAGAGGTCAGTGATGTAATTAGCAATGTGCACTTCCAAGCCGGAGCGTTGAGACTGTAGACGGCTAAAGACGGGTATGCCGATCAAAGACCAGCCTCTGTCAGCTGTGGACTCACGAGCTGGTTGGCTTAACATGGAGAGCTTGACTCCTTAAGGCCTCAGATCTGTCAAATCGCCACAGCCTTTACACACATTCAGGAGAGTGACCCTACGTCATTAGGAGAGGTAAAGTCATACTTGCATGTAGATAAGCTACTTCTCCCACTCACTAAATGTGAAAATGTTTTCACTTTGGCAGCACTTAGTTGCTGGTGTTTATCATTGTTTTAATGTTGTCCAAGTTAATCCTTCTTCCTTTGTCTCACTGGTATTGTTAGCTTGGTATATGGAAAGCACTGTTGTTGTCCGCGATGCTTTTAAGCCAATAAAGGGCCATGAATATTTAACCAAGGGGCTGCCATTCGATGTCTGCACTTGAGACTGTTGTAACACACCAGTATACGTGTCACTTGATTTATCTCCCTTGCAGGATTATAGAAAAATATTGGCACTTAGATTATTTCAATTATTTACTGTTTGCCCATTAGTGCAGGCATCTGTGATTTACCGACTTGTTTTTGAGCCGACAATGCACTCCGCTCTGCAAACAAGTTTAGGTTCTGCAAGTTCAAGTTAACCAGTCAGATGTGCTGCTGTTGAATTGCGGATTCAGTAACTGCCTTTCTAGTTGGGACTTACAGTGTGCCGTTTCTCTGCAGAAATACTGTTGACCCCCATGGAGCTACTCACCTGGACCTCAGTGATCAACCTGGCTCAAGAAGCGCGTCGGCCCTTTAATTATTTAAAAAAGAAAAAGAGAGAGAGAAAGAAAGAAAACACGTAATCAACCGACTGCCCCTTGAACCAGCCAGGCCGTGCCCTGACCCCCGACCCCTCGCCCCTCCCCAGCTCAAGTTTGCCGTCTGTCCAGCTGGATCCCACTCAGACACTGGCTGGGGAAGGATCGCGGATATCTGTCCCAACAAGCCTAATCCTCCTGGAGGGAGAGCCTCGTGACGAGCCAGTCAATCTGCCTGTCCACCTGCATTCACCGTAGTGTGACTTACTGTAGGCCTCCTGGTGGGGTACACTGACTTAAGGGGGCGGCAGTGGGTGGATTTTGTTCAGATGAATGTATTCCTCTCAGTGGACAGCGGCCATTTACAATCTCATCTCGAAAGATCACATACACTGATTTCTTCTCTTCTCTACCCCCGGAGCCCCCTTTATTCTCCACCCCCTCCCCCAACCTCTGGATCGTTGGAGAAATTTCCACATAGTTCCGAATGGCAGCAAATACTCCCAAGTTATGTTCACACTTATGGATGGAGCTCAGACACTTAGCCGATTTTGCCTTTTTGCTGTTCTTTATTTTATTGTTTTTGTTATTATAATTATTATTATTGTTGTTGTTGTTGTTGTTTTTTTAGATTTTTCCTATTTGTTTGTTTCTGTTTGTATTTTTGTTGTTGTGAAAATTTAAGATGTAGAGTGAAAAATATGGTGTTTAGAAAAGAGAGTGAGAGAGAAACTGAACGTGGGGGGGAAGAAAACACTGCAGAAGACTGGTTTGAATGGTGAATTCTAAGATTAGATTAATTAAAGAGGTTTATATAGTGTATAAAATTAAGTTTTATTTTCTGTATAGATTCATTTTAATTATTGTAGATTATTCTTTATCTTAGTAGCAAGAAGAATAATATTTCTAAAATTGTGAAAGAGGCACTTCTTTTTATAATTTTAACAGCAATGGTTGTATTCTTTCTGAGAAGATTCTTCTATTAACCTGAATGGTGGATTTTGCTTTGGTCATGTAGTTTCAGAAGATGTCAAAATCAAATATAGTTTGAAATTAATTACAGAGTTTGTACATAACAATAAGTAAAATCGTTTTCTTTCCTATTTATTTTATTCCCTGGGGCTTAACGTCTCTCAGCCTGGTCCCCAACTGCCTCCTGAAGCAGAGCAGTGTTTTGGGGGGAGGGGTTGTGTGTGTGTGTGTGTGTTTTTTGAGGAAGTGGAGGGAGAACCTTCACCTTCTTAAAGTTCTGGTACAGTGCAGACAGGGGTGCGGGCGGGAGGTAGGGAGGGTTGTAAATGGGTGTGCTGTGTATACAGTGTACAGATTATCGCTTGCTTCTCTGCCTTTAGCATAGAACACAACAAAAATAAATAAAAGAAGGAAAAAAATCAATTCAACACAGCCATACACTAAAAAAAAAAAAAAAAAAAAAAAAGATAAAGTGTGCTTTCTATGTTGTCTGGAGTGGAAAAATGCTTCATACAAGCTGCTAGGTGCAAACTGTTCTGTGTGTTGTAAACAAGCAATAACAATTACTTGAGAATCTTTTGGTTTGGTTTTTTTTGGTTTGGTTTTTTTTTGTAATTTTTGTACAGTTTCCTGGGAAAAAAGGACACGTTTTTCCTCTGCGTTTGGATGCAGTATTAAACACAGTTTTTTATTGCAGTTTGTACCAAGAAAGTCTACATCCACAGACACACACACATACACAGCACACACACACAGCGTTCCTATTAGATTATGCAGCATAGGCTGAGATCTGGAGAGGGAGTTAGTTTGTGGTCCCCATATTGACACATGCCCTCTCTGCCTCCAGCCGTTCTTCTATAGCAGAGGTCAGAGTTAAGACTGCACGCTTCACAAGAGCTGCTCTGACAGACACTTAGCCATATTTTATGACCTCAGGCAGTTAGTTCACCTATAAAGTGTTCAGTAATGACCTGCTTGTTCTTGTGCCCCACCAGACGGGGGGGTTGGTTTGGCCTTCACAAGATCTAAAGCGAGTCATCTTCTCTAACCTCAGAAGATTTTCCTCAAAAAAAATAAACTTTTTATATTGACTATTTTAACCCAGGACAGACTTTGAGCAAGCCAAATAATCTTCACATTTCAATTGGATTTCTGAATTCTACTCATTTTCTTTTTATTTATTTATTTTTTCTAAGTAACCATTTGATGGTTACCATGGTTTGGCCCACAGGAAAAACAAGAAATTTATGATGATGTCACTCAACAGGGTCTGATGTAAATGTTACATCATAAAACAGGAAGAGAATCACTCTGAATGTATTGTCCATAAAGGCCTAAGGATGTGACTGGTGGTGCATTGAGGTGTGGACAACATGTGCGGTTACACCGTGCTCTTCTCGGTGTTTCTGACGTTATCCATCGTTGCTTCTTTTTCCTTGTTTTTTCCACTTTTAATTTCTGTATGAAATTTGAAGCTGTAGCAATTCAACTGTGGAACAAAGGAAGCCTGCATTAACGCTTTGGTTGTTCTGCAGGTGCTTTTTTTGTTGTTCTAGTTGTTGTCGTAGACCTACAGGAGATCCCACCTTTTTGATAGATGCTGTTTTGATTGTACAAGGAAAAAAAAAAAAAAAGATGCGGCCGTGCAGAATCAGCCTTTTGAGCCATTTTTAAAAAAGGAATCACAGCCCTTTGCAAAATTTCCAAAGATTGTTAAGATTTTAAAAAGACTTAAAGCCATGTTGGTAGCAGTGCATTTTTTTTCCTTTTTAGCACTTATAATGAGGACAGGAGCAAATAAATGATTTTTGCCCCTCACAGATATCCAGGCTTTGGACCCATGAATCAAAAATATTTTTTTCCTCTGTAACTTATGGTTTTGAAGAACTTTAAATGCCCTTTTGTATTGTCTGCCAATTTCTTAGAGCTAAGATGCAACCTTGAAATGCTAAAAACCCTAGCATAATGCCTTAGATTTTGTCCGTTCTTGTACATTACACCGCTGTCTGTATAAATTTGTATAATGACTTGTGTACAATATTGAATGGGTGCATCATTGTTAAACTCTTCTCAGCTGCTGGGAACTTGGTCACGGTTCTCCTTTGCTCTCTGTTCCGTGTTGGGTCATCTCCTCGCCCTCCGCTCACTGTTTGTATGGACAAAGGTGATGATACATAGGGATACCGAAGCAATATGTAATATACTCTATGGACTTTCTGAAGAAAGCTTACTGTTGTGTTTTACCCCCCTCCTCCCGAGATATTTTTTCTGCATTGTTCACGAGTCACACTGTATACCCGCATCGATCATTGTACCCCTAGTGTGTGAGCGTTTTATGCAAAGTTAGATATACAAGAGAAGTTAAAACCACAGTTATGCAAGTTGTGAACTAATATGGCTTCGCTGATGCTATTTGCCTTGTAAATAAAGAATTCTGTTATTGCATTATTTAATCGAGCGACTCTTATTTCATTTCCCAGCGCACGAAGATTAGTGTTCAGGTTTTGTTTTTCTAACTGAAACATAAAGTTATTAGCTGGCTACTTAGTGACATCTTTATTTAGTTTTTCATAAACATAACAAAGTTGAACAAATATATTTCAGTATATGATAAGCTATTGTAAATGTTATATAATTGGTAGACTTTTTTTTTATTAATATAAAAGATCGCAAGTCATCGAATCGCCAAAAGTTTCGAATGAAATATTTCATTCGCCAGTAAAAACTGAGCTTTTTAAATGGTTTTATGAAGCTGTAGGCCTCTTATGTTTGTTTTATTTTTCCAAAAAAACACAAGAAGCTCCGCTGATCTAGAGCACAAGAAAATTGCCTGTTTAAAATTAGCAATAAAAACCTTTTATAAAAAAGCAAACAACTTTACATTTGCACTTTACTGAAGTATTGATGGGGATTGGGTTAAGTTTTTTTTCTGTATACAATAAAGGTCGGAGCAGTGATCTAATAAATGCCTGGTCATTTCCCCGCTATTTTTTTTTTTTAAATCTCTTCTTTATTTCTAGCGTCTAAGTGTGAAGCACGATAATCCACTCCACGCCTCGTGAGCAAATTGAAATCTTAGGCTCGTTCTCATAATCGGCCTCACTGTGGCAAAGAGAGCCGACTCCGAAGTGCAAAGAACACGGGGGTGGGTTGGCCCTGAGAAAATCTATTCCTATGGGGTGGGTGGCATTGAAATGCATGAGGTTGAGCTGACTCCTGGCCAATAGGAGTAAGGAGATAGCTGTATACGGCATAGGTGCCCTCAGATGACCACAGAGCAGCACATCCTCTCTTAAGTTTCGGCTGCTCCCGGCAGAATCTGAACGTTTGTCTGCAGTGTTTGATTTTACAGCACGGGAGGTTGATCAAACTCTGGCCTGTGGGCATGACGGACACATCGCCCGCGTGAAGCTCCTCTAATTGTTTTCAGAAGGTAAGCTTCTTTATTAAAGTTCACAAAATGTTTGTAGCGGTCCGCTTTAATTTCAGTCATCATTTCACATGATTCATATTTGTTTGTACCTTTAAAAAAGTAATTTTAAAGCCCCCCCAGCGGGCATTACGCACTCCTATCGCGACCCTATTTCCCTTCATACAGCGGGCTGATTGTAAAAGTCATTAAAAGCTTCATTAATGTTGACCTCTGCTCTGGCCAGCGGTTCTTTAATTAGTGTCATGACCCTGATTTGTCTCTCTATTTACTGGCTGACTGGTAAACTGTTCCTAAAAAGCACACCATCATGCAGTGGGGTCATCTGAAAAGCCTCTGATGAACATTTGATGTGTGGCTTGTGTGTGACCCTTCAGCTGGAAATAATGCAAAATCGGCTGTCCGAGTTCACTGCGGATTGCTTTCCCCCTTTATGTGCGCAGTATTTTCATCTGTCGCCGACAGTTTCATTGCTTTTCATTTTAAAAGAAAAACACTGCGAACCTGTTGTAGATTTCAATTTCTTAGCCATAATCATCTGCAGTTTGTATCAGTTCCACATTTAACCAGAGGGTTGCCAAGCTTCTTAACACCTTTGGAAAAATCTTAAAATATTTGGAAGAAATGCTCATAACTGGAGAGCGAAGTAAAGTCTTACGTTCATTAAAATAATCAGTTCTGGTGGGTTCGGCCTCTTTTGATGTCCTGTTTCCTTTTTTAGATTTCTTACATTAAACTTTTATGACTACACCCCCTCCCCTCTACCCACGCTCCCACTTGCTTCTATCTCTCTTCCCCACAGAAGGCTACATCATCTTCTCCATTTGACCCTTTGCCTCACCTCCTGTGCTGTCATGTCGGTGTCCCTGTCCAGCATCCCTGTAATGCTGAAGGAGAAGAGCTATCCAGCCGGCATGCTGAAGGGCAGTCCTGCCCGCGGCTTCTACCCAGCTCCTCTCCCCGGCCCTCATCACTATGTGGACTTCTTCCCGCGTACGCACAACCTTCTCCACCCGCTCAAGTCCCTCGGTCGTCTGGTGTCGGACGCTCAGGCTTCCCTGCCGCTCAGCCTGCACGGCGGGGCCACTCCCTTTCTCGGCCAGGCCGGCCACAACGCCTCGGTCCTCCACGAACACATGTTGAGCGCCTCCAGCATCCCGTATCTGAGCCAGATGTTGCCCGGACACCCACTCTACTCCAAACCGGAGGAGCTGGCTGCTGTGGTGACCGAACACGCCGCCGGTCCGCTGTCTTCAGACTTCAGCAGCCCGTCCAGTGAACGGTCTTCTTCTGCTCCTACATCCGCCAACACACCGCCCAAGGAGAGCTTCCTTCGGCTCCGGAGCACGGACCATTCCACAGAGAAAAAGGGCGCATCGTACAACTTCAGTGAGGACGACTTGTTCACGGTGCTCTACGGATACTCCGGCAGCCAGGAGCGTAGCGTGGGTCACGCCATATCAGGAGTGGCCCTGCCGGAAAACTCAAGTGAGAATTCAGATTACGGACTATGGATTAAAATGACTGGCGTTTCATTTTGTTTGGTGTGCGATAATAAAAACTGCCCTTGATTTCACGCTATCCCCCAAACATAAATGTTTCCCTGTCACTACTATTATAGCCGAATATAACACATCGATCAGAATCTTTGTAATGCAGTTAAAGATGAAACACTACTCAAATACTCCCGCTCAAATAGTAACGATAAACCTTTTTTATCTCCCTATTTTGTTCACATTTGTTTGTTTTCTCTTTAGTTTCTGACTCACACATTTTCCCACTGGACAAAGAAACTCTTGAACTTCCAGAGGGTAAGAAGCCACCATTTTTATCTATTTATTTATTTGAATCACCTTTACGTGTGTCCTTGATTGCATGATAGAGTAATGAAATCTGAGACCGCTTTGGCTCTGTGCTGCAGGGTTAACCATTCTCCAGGCATCCTGGGGAAACGCTTCGAGCTGTGGTGTTTTTGCGGATAAACGCAGTATTCCTAAAGGCGCCCGTTTTGGACCTTTCCAAGGAAAACTAGTCAACACAAGCGAAATTAAAATATACGACGATAACACCTTGATGTGGGAGGTAGGGTGGTGAATTGTCTCCTCACAATACTGGTCTTTATCTAGATTTTTTTTGTCGATACTTCTAATACTTCTAACACACCCTGCAGGTGTTTGAGAACGGCCGCCTCAGTCACTTTGTGGACGGAAGAGGGGGATCTGGTAACTGGATGTCTCTGGTGAAGTGCGCTCGCTTTCCCGAGGAGCAGAACCTGGTTGCCGTGCAGGTCCAGGGCCAGATATTTTACGAGGCCTGCAAGGAGATCACGCCAGGCCAGGAGCTTTTGGTGTGGTACGGAGACTGCTACATCCAGTTCCTCGGGATCCCCCTCACACTGAAAGACCCTAGAGAGGACAGCAACGCGGTGCCTCCCTCTGAAGGTCAGGATTTAATCTTCTTCAGTTTTTTAATCATCATACATATATTTAGTGTTTTTGTAAAAATAAAAAGTTTTTCCCCAGATTCAAGCGAAGGCTTCAAGTGTGACAGATGTGGGAAGGTTTTTGCGTACAAATACTACAGAGACAAACACCTGAAATACACCCGCTGCGTGGATCAGGGGGACAGGAAGTTTCCGTGTCACCTCTGCAACAGATCTTTCGAGAAGAGGGACAGATTACGGATCCACATCCTCCACGTCCACGAGAAACACAGACCTCACAAGGTACAACATCCCTGCATCCGTCTTGCTTTTGTGAGGGATTTCCACACAAACCTCCCTTTACATGGTTGTGGTCTGTGAAAAGTTTTAGATGGTGCTGAAAGAACAGCTCCTACACTGCGTCACAGGGACCTTCAGATTTTTATTGGACGTAAAAAAATAAAAAAAATAATAACATTTATATGAGACTTGCATTTTGTTTTGTTTCTGAAAAACGAAAACAACTCCGAAATGTATTTAAACCCATTCACAAAATGAGGTTAGGTTCTTTTTAGCTTTATTTTGAGCTTAATGCATTCGAGTGACACTTTGTGTATGTGAATTTGCTGCAGTGCTCGGTTTGTGGGAAAAGCTTCTCCCAGTCCTCCAGTCTCAACAAACACATGCGCGTGCACTCGGGTGAACGTCCGTACAAGTGTGTCTACTGCAATAAGGTAAGAAGCTTTTTTTGTATTCTTTCTAAAGATGCGTTTGGCTTGACAAAGACGAGACCGTTTGACAATTGGCTCGATGCTGAAGAAAAATAGGAATAAATCCTGGAATTCGACTTAATTGCTGGTGCCAGAATAGTTTGAATACGCCATGGGTGTGCTGCCAAAAATAAATATATACAAAAAAAATAAAATGAAAATCTTAGAAACATAAATTGTTTTACCAGCAATAACGACACTGTCCTCTGAGAGGTTTTTCCCAACCTGCTTCTATTAGACCTGCAGGCTTTCTACTCGTTCCTCTTTAAACCATTTCGGGTTTCCTCCTGTTACGGTGCATTTGGCACGCGCCTCTCCTTATTGTTCCTCGCGGAGGGCACGCTCTGCATAGACACTTACATGCTAATTATCGCCAGATGTACACCCACCCCTTTGTCTGCCAAGATTATACTTTTATTTTATGGCCCTGGAATGAGCAGAAGTTTTTTTTGTTCTCGATATCCTTCCCTTTTTATGCGGACTGTGGACGTTTTGTTCAAGCTGTTCCCCTTTCTCCTTTATTTCGACTATTTTAGCAATGTGGCACGAGCCCAAAGGTTTTTGCCGCCTTTGAGCACTAGGCTGCCCCTAAAAATGCCACAAAAACAGGGGGAAAAAATCCTTTAACAAAAGTGTTCACGAAATGTTAAGGAGCATTAAAAAAAATCAAAAATCAAAACTTTTTCTGAAAAATATTTTTTTAATGGCTCCTGTGAAAAAGGTAACTGTTAGCTTATAAAAAAAATAAACAACGTTTATCTTGCCTTTAACTTGACAACTGAAATTGCGCTTATTTACCCAGTGTTTTAAACTCCACTCTCCCAGG